CAAATTTAATCCTCCTGCATTCTGAAAGAATGGCTGTGCACCATTCCCACCAGGAACATGTGTCCCACTACACAGGAGTGTCCTAAAACACACACTGCCCATGTGGGTGCTTCAGCCTCTGGGCAGCTGACAGCCAAAGCCCCAGACAGCACCTTCCAGCACAACCAGCACCTCCTTCTCCTCCACACACAACTCTGCTCTGCAGATTTGCACAGCCCCTGGAGAACCCCAGCCTCTCAGGGAGCAGCAGGGAACAGAATGGGTCTATTCTTCCCAGGGAACAATGTGCCATAAAGCTGTTCAGCCAGGTGTATCCAGCAGCTCTTGCTGATCCTTTCCACACAGCCCCATTAAGCTAATGGAGCAGATTATGCTAATTTTACATTGCTCGTCTGGGGGCTCGTGGGTGTTGCACACAGGACAGAAGGAGCCCGGCAGCAAGGACACGGCTGAACCACGGCACTCTTGGAGGCTCTCAGATTTCACTCCAGGATGATTTAAACAGCTTAGGTTATACAGAGCAGAGGCACCACTGACATAGGTGTTCTTTACTTTTTCCATGTTTCAGTCCAATGGAAAAGGACAAATGTAACTAATATCCACTAGTATGCAAAACACAGTACAAAAATGCAATCACATAAGGTACAAACAGAAGCAAGCACAGTCCAATTGTTTTTTTGAAGGACTATACAGCATTGATGCAAGTAAGGCCAAATTATGAAGTAAAATTCAAATTCTTAAAAATACTGTCTTTTAAGAATAAGTTTTAAGAATAAACTTATTCTTCTGAATAAGTTTAAACAGGATTGTTCTCACACAAAGTTTTTCTTCGACAATTGTTTAGAAGTTAATATTGAAATACATATCAGTGCATGGTAAACAATGAGACAAACGCTTTACTTTCCCAAATTAAGAAAAACACAAGACCATGCAATTCCATATATGGATGAATATAAATAATACATACATTTTTGGTAAATAAAACTACACAGTTACAGCTCTAAGGAGCAAACTTCTATCACGACAAATATTTTGTCCCAACGCTTCTGAAAATATATCCTGCAATCTACGTCACAGCTCTTTTAGTTTCGTGATTGTTATTTGAGAAGGCAAAATATGACATTTTCCATTAAGTTAAGACTGATGTCACTGGACACAGACACTAAGCTCACTGTGACTGGGTTGCAGCACACATCACTGAAGTGTGAAGAGGGGAAAATGTGTCAGCATCATCACATCACCTGCCAGGCACTCTCTCAGGAGGTTTGGCACATCACACCTGGACACAGGTTCAGTGTGGCTTTACTTCCAGACACTGAACTTCCCTTCCATAAGGATAATGTCTGTGCTGTGTCAGGCTCACTTCACACACATAGAAATCAGTCTGAAAGGATGCAACTCTGCTTCCAACTGAAAAACTCTGTTAAGAATGGACAACAGGATTTCTGCAAGATTTTGCCATTAGTTTATGCTATAAGCAAACACTCTCTCCCATTCTCATATGCAGAGGAGGGTCCTGAACCTCAAAATAGATAGTGACAGCCTTAAGTGGATTTCCCAAGCTCCATCCACCAGTGTGCTGCTTCGGGTAGCAAAGGCAGGAGTTCCTTAAGCTGACAGCACCCACAGCTGGGAGCTTTGCAGGAGGACAAGCCCGCCACAAAGTAGCATGAGTAAGAAAGCCATCAGGAGAGGCAGGCAGAGATCCAGAGGAAGCAGCAAGGAAGTAGGGCAAGAAGGGAGGGAGCGAGTTTCTCCATGAGCCAATGGGCACAGTCCTCTTCAGGCAGCCAGCAGGGAATCTCACTGCCAGCCAATGTCACTACGAATCTAAAATTCAGCTCCAGGCTCATGCAGCAGATTCTCCACTGGCTGTACAGATTAGACACCATGAAAAGTAAAGATAAATTTTAAAAAGCAACTCTAACAAAGGCTGGATAATCCTCTGTTTTACAGGAAGAAGTTATCAGTGTCCCTTCAAGAACAAACTGCCTTATAGCATCCAACAAGCTCAACCTCTGCTGGAGTTCTCATCCGAATCTCTCGCTGGATCTGGGCCACGGACGCTGTGGGCTGTGTTCACGGGGAAGTTTTCTTTCTCATCACTTTTGAGGATATTATTCAGAAGTATTGAAATAAAAACACAACCAAAATGCTACCCTAAAAGCATTTTACCTCAACTCACAGATATATCTGTGTTAAAACTTACAAGCTCATCTAAAATATGAAGAGTAACAGTTTTTAAGTTAGGATCTGCCTGAAATAACTCAAACCACACTTTGCACTTAAAGCCTTCGGAGAGAAGCTGCAATACCGCTGCACTGGGTATTGCGGTGCCTCGGGAACACCCAGCACCGACCAGCCTGGGCACAAGGGCCGATCCTCCGCCCCGTGCCCGCACACACACACACACACACCGGGCAGCTCGCCTTCAGGACGAACACACCCCCGGGATCGCCAGCCTCCTTTTATCCCAGACAGGACCCAACTGTCCCGGCCACCGGGACCAGCCCGACTTCACTCTCGGGGTCCCAGCGGTGGCCGGGACAGCGGGCGGACAGATCCCGGCCCACCCCACAGACCGGCTGGGCTGCCCCGGCGGCAGCTCGTCCTCCCGCACCTGTCCTCCCCCCCTCACCGGTACTGCTTGGGGTCGCTGGGGGACTTGACGATGTCGGGGTCACCGAGGTTGTGTTCAGGACCGGCCCCCACGCGCTCTTCCTCCTCGTCCCCATGAGGCGAGCGGCCCCCGGCGTCGCGGCCGCCCTCCGCGGCCTGCTGTCCCACCGCAAGCTCCGGGCTGCCGTAGCCGCACGTCGCCTTGTTCCTGCCGGGCATGGCGGTGGTGCTGCCGCCCCACAGCGGCCGGACAACGGCCCGTCCCGGCCGCCAGCCCCCGGCCACGGCCCGCCCGCGGGGACCCCCGGCCGCCGCCGCCCGCCCGCTCCGAGCGAGGGCGGCCGCGAGACTGCGCATGCGCATGTCTGCGTGGCGCTCCCATTGGTGGAGGTAAGGCCGCCGGCGTGAACGGTGGGGGAAACCATAAATGGGGGAGAGCAGGAGGGAATATGGACCCTATCAAGAATCGGACGGAGCGGGCAGAGGAATCAGAGGGATAAGGAGAAGGCGAAAGAGCGGATCCAGATTTCAGGTACTGTTCTGTGCGCCGTCACGTCCCCATGAGTATGCCCGCCCGCGGCCTGAGCTGTGCTCCCCTGCTCTCACCTTGGAATAGCCCAAGAGCCGGCTGGCGGAAGCCCGCCCCCTGCCCCCAGCTCCTTCACCGATTGGTCACGCTGGCTGTCGCTCAAGCCTGCAAGGACCAATCAGCTGTCGGGGCCGGCTGCCGGCAGCGTGGCGGACGCCGGGGCTCCGTGGTGGCAGTTCCCGGGATGGTGGGACGCGGTGTGTCCTGAACAGCGCAAAGGCTGCACCTGTGGCTGCTGAACACAAACCACTCCTTGTTCCGTACGTGGCCACTTCGGCAGCTCTCTGCACTTTCCGGTCCGTGGATCTGCTTTTCCCCCACTACACTGCAGTGCCGATGGCAGCGGGAATGTTGCTCTGCCGCTCGGCTCAGATCCCCTGGCGCTTCCAAACGGCGCCGCCAGGATCCCGCGTTTCTCGCGGCCTCTCTGCATCGCTCCGCGCCTGTCCCGCTCCGCTGGCCGCGATCCCCGCGGCGCTGGCCGCAGAGCCGGTGCTGAAAGCCAAGGCGCGGGACCAGAGCTGAGCCTGCGGTACAGGGGCGATAATTCAGCCTGGATGTCTATCTGATACTCCAGTGCTTTAGTTCTCCACCAGATGGAAGCCAAGACCCGTCTCTAATGCCAGGATTTCCCTATGGCTTTTCCTCGGTGCTGTTTCGAAGCCATAGCGAGTCGCTTGTGAGAAGCTGTCGCCTCTTTCTTTTCACACTAGTGCCCCTTTTTTCCCTTGTAACCAGGCTGTTTTGTTAACACAACTCTCCTGGGCCCCTGCCACTCAAACAGAAGGCTCTGTGCAAGCCCACATTACAAATTTCGACAGGACAAATCTTGCCTTCAGTGCAAACAGGTTTTATTTCCCCTGCCCTAACAAATCAGTGTCTCATTCTGCCATTCCCCTTACAAGTTAACACAGGTAACAATTACTCCTGACTCACTGCTCGTACTGAAACCAGCTGCAGGCCATTTAAGGCAAAAGGCTTTCCCCGATTTTCTTCACAGCAAACATAAGATGATGACATACACAAAATATATATTAAACATGGAGATGTATACACAAAATATATATTAACATGGAGATTTTTCAGTTGCCTGTGATGTTTGATTCGTTATTTGAAATAAATTCTGCAGGATTTCTACAAAAAGTGTTAGGCTTCTCCATGTGTGCAATATCAGGCAGGGTAGAATTCTCAACTCTTTTCTTCAGACTGCCATGTAGCTACTTGCTATCTTGCCCTGTGAAAAACAATCCTAGCTTGAAGGGCCAGGAATGCACTTGTATTCTTTAAAAAAGACGATCTGACTTGACCAGAACACAACAAAACACAATGATACATTGGGTAGGAAAGGAAAAGGTCTTTTTTGCTAGGGAAACAACAACCAAAAAAAAAGTAAGTGAAAGAAAATAATTTAAATTCCATTTCTGCTGAATCCATTTTCTTTTATCAGGGAACTGCTGAGCTGACAAATCATTATTTGCACTGAGGTACTAAGTTATATCTGCACAGCTCAAAATCTGATGTGGATTTTTTTTTTATTTTATTGCTAGTTATACAAATTCCCCTAAAAACCTGCTTCTTCTACAACTAGAACACAACACTATGCATTTATTGGCCAAATAATCCTTGTCTTCACTGTTCTAAACCTATGCAGTGATTCCAGATTGGTGATTCAAAGACCATCACCCTGTCAAAGAAAGGTCAGTGTTGTTTGATGTATTTTTAAACCATTAAAAAGATTTCCCCTTCACACACGTGTAGGATTCCTAACACAAGAAATGCAGCTGACACAATCTCTCTGGCCACACCCAGTGAGTACATTTCTCTTTATTTGTTTCAGGGGTTTAGATACAACAACCACAGTCCCAGCACTGCACAAATCACACTCTCAGGACAAGATCACACACACCCAGAACATGGCACAGTAGAGATTCCCAAAAGCAACAAACAGAGGGATCAAGCCTTTAGCACAATGAGCTCAAACCACCCCAAATGAGCTGCATTTTTGTCCAGAATTTTGTGCTTTTCTTCTTAGAGCTATTACACTTTGAGACACAACAGAAGGAAATTACAAAAGCACTCACTGGTGTCATGAGCACGTTACAGGGCAGTGGGCAGGCACTCAACTCCCATTCCTGACATCAGGAAGTCCCCTCAGCCAGAGGAGATCACAGATCAAAGCTAAAGCCATAAAACTTTCCAGAATTTTCCCCTTAAGATCACCAACTTCTCTCCGTATCCACTTAAAGACTCTGCCTCACTTCAAAGATATGATGCCACAAAAAGTTCCCAGAATACCAGGATGTCTTTGCCACGTTTCATTTGCAGTTGTGTTTTATTACCCACTCTTACTCTTCTTAAATTATACTTTGTGGTTGAATCTGAACCTAGAAAATCTAGCCTCCCCACACACCCATCTAGAACAAGATTAAAAAAATAAATCAACAATAAAATGCAGAAAGAAAATCTAATAATATTGGCACAAATACCTGCCAACACTCACATTTTGGCTTCTGATATTTTTATCTCTCTGAGACAGTGCTTTTCTATTTCTTATATGTTTTTGCCTCCAACTAAGCATTCAGCAGCCAACTCTCCTTTTCCTCCTTCCTGCAACACATCCACCAGCAAGCAGCTGATAAGAGAAGATCCAGACCTGGAGAGGTAAAACTACAGGATGCAGGGGAAAGGCTGCAGGACAGTCAGATTCTGGGAAGAGAGGATTAAAAACACAACACAACACCCCCAGCACTCTGCAGGCTGTGCTGGAGAAATTTGGAGGCAATGGCAGCCCCTGGAAGGGCTCTTACTCTTTCACTCAGCACCAGCCAAAGCACAGGGAAGGAAACACAGGGATGGCTGCAAGGGCTCTTCCTCCTCCTCCTCCCCAGCCTGGCAGCTTTCATTCCTCCCTGTGTTCTTCATCTGTTTAGAGACTTGACACAAAATCCAACCCCCTTCCTCTTCACACTCTGGAGGACCTCACATTGTCAGACAGAAATGCTCTGCTTTCTGCTCCATCCTACAGAAAAACTGAGGTCCATGTCTGGAGGACAGCAATGATTCTCAAAATATTTGGGTATTGAATTGTTTCTTTTATGTTTTTAAAAAAGCATATTCTTGCTTTATAAGAGTTTTCCCCTTTCTTCTCTCAGGCCTGATCCCTTCTAATTGTTTTTTGTGCTTCCTGCTGTTCTTGACAAAAACACTCTTTCTGCAATAGAAGAATTTGTAATTTAAAAATGCAACATTCTCTGTAGAAATAACATTTGCATCACTACACAATTATTATTCTTCAGTGTAACTCACATTCACACAAGGTGCGCTGACAATATTTTTTCAGATTAATAAAGTATTGGATGAGGAAATATATAATATTAACACTCCAGCACATTAAACAAACATACCAGTTTCCTACAACAGACACTTCTGCCTCTGGACTACATGATAATGCACCAGCACAAATGAAAAGATAAAATTTAATCAGGGGAGAAGGATATTTCTCAGAGTGAAATGTCACTAGCATGAGCAGTTCTGCTGTGAAGGGGGGGGGTTGTCTGTGAGCCTCATGCTCCTTCCAGAAGTGCCCCTGGAATTGTCTGACTCTATGCTCTCTGACATCTTTTCACAGATGATATCCACGAGACGCTCAAACACCTGCCTCACGTTGATGTTTTCTTTGGCACTGGCTTCAAAATAGTCAAAACCTGAGGAAAAAAGAGAACACGGATGAACGATCATGATGGTTTTTAAAATATAATTTTTTTCAGGATTTACCTTAAGAAAACAAATCATCAGATAGTCCTAAAAGTCATTTGATTCCCACAATCTCAGAATCGTGAGCAAAAATACTTTTACAAGTTACCAAGCTTCATTAAGAGTGAAAGGGATACATGGATCCTTCCCATTACGCTGGTAAGCACATCTGCAATAAGGATAAACCCAGGGTAAGGGAGTCAGTTCTGCTCCTTTCATCAGTGCAGGTCCCCTGGGCTGCAGCTGGTGACCAGCAAGGTGTGGAGAACTCTTGAAACTTCCAGCAGGGAACCTCCCTGGGCTCCTCACAGCCCTCCAAAGGCCAGGCTCTACCAACCCCTGCTGCCCTCTGGCAAGAGGAGAGGCCAGAACGAGAAGGAAGATTGGGGTTGCTTTCTTTCTGCTGATCAACTTCTGTACTCAAAGCAAAATGCTCCTAGATCCTTTAAACACTAGCCCTTTCTGATTAAAAAAAAACAAAAACAAAACAGACCAGCAAGGCTGGAGTTACACCAAGGAGGGAATGGCACCAGCTCCTCCTGCTGCCGCCCAGGGCTAGGGGAGAAGCAGCCTCTGACAGACAGCCCAGGCCCTGCCCCAGCAGCAGGAATGCCCTGGACTGTGAAGCATTTCCTTATCTCCCTCACCCCAGGGGCCTCGAGGGCCAACCAGGCTGTTGCTTCTGTTCTGTCAGTTGATTAAATTGCCAGCAGCAAGAGCTGAGGCACCACGGAGAGTTTATTTTGCAATAAGCTCCGTTCTGTTGTGCTTCATTCTGGGGATATTCTGCATTGCATCAGTTTCTTTGATTCTGCCACAAAAAAAGAGAAAATTTGTCTTAACTTAGTCTGCCACTGCTGGCAGGCTGAGTCACCTCCATGTGTGGGATAAGAAGGCATCCACTCCATTAGGACCCTTTTTAAGATTCATGGAAGAAAGGGTGAAGTGGTGGTGATGTTTGCCTTGCTAACAAACAGGGAGTGATGCCCTGCACCAGATGAGGGCTCTGTCTGCCCCACTTGCTGTTTTGATGATGAATAAAAATATATATAAAAAGCATAGGAAATCAGAGAACTGCACTTAGATATCTGCTAGTCCAACACTGGCTTAGGTTCTGCTAAACCAATCTGTTTTGGTTCAGTTCACATTCAGGTTAATAACAATTTCTTAATCTGATTAGGGAATTATTTCAATTATGTTAATGTCACTATGCAAACTTAGATAAATATGCTGAGGGATAACCTTTATGTGAATCATTATGATGAACATTAGCACTTTAAGCAGTCAATAGCCAATTAGATTCCTCCCACCTAACTCACAAAATAATTTCATAAAATGCTGTACACATTAGCATGGTTACTATAAGGAAAAACTGATCAGATAAAATCAGATCTATTTTTCAGCTCTTTTAAAAAGAGCGTTTTGGAAGTTGGGAGGTTACAGAAGAGCAGAGCTAGGACAGCACTTCCCAAAGGCTGTTGGGCTGCTCTGCACTGGGGTGGTTTTTCCAGGGTGAGCTGGACAAGCACCAGGTCAGGGCTGCACTGGGGATTCTTCTGCAGAACAGTTTCCTATTGATGGATTCAGTTGCTATGGTAACCCCGTGTGTGTGTTTTGAAGTGTCCCATACGTAAAGGAATCAGATTCGAGATGACAAGTTTGTATTGAAACAAGCAGATGAATTTTGTGAGGAGAAAAAAACATTGAAAGTCCAAATTGGAGTGGGAGTTCAAATAAAACTCTCATTTACTGCTACAGTGGTCTGGACACAATTTCCATTACTAACACTGCAATTATTCCTGTGAAATAGGTGAACACACATACATCCACAACCTTTCTGAGATCTGCAAGTCAGGAACCGAGTTTATTCACATTCATATTTTCAAAAGCAAATTAAATTCTAACGGGTAAAAAACAGCCCATAACTGATTTTGCAAACCAACCATATCTTTGTTTGCTTTGCCAATCCTACATGTAAAGATTTACTCTTACAATAATAACAATGGGTCTAATTTGATATTTGCTTGTTTTTTGTTTAGGATGGCAGTGCCTCAAGGCTCCAGCCATGAATGGGACTCCTTTGTGTGTGCCATATGTAGAATTTACCATTTCAAAGCCACACTTTAATCTACACCAATGTATGCAGTGTGTCCTGGAACTCCATTGCCCCCAGTTTAACAGTTTATTACGCATCCTCCAATTACTGTTTAAGAACTGAAGGCAAAACAGGATTTTATAAAATGAGGATGATGGTGATTCCTTTGGGTCTGGTAAGAATCTTTACTCTTACAAGCTAAACATTTATGCCCTCTGTAAGGGTCTCCATTGTTACCTGAATGAAATTTCAACAGGATTTACTCGTTACTTTGAATTCTTTAACAGAAGTCAAGAGTATAGTTAAATTTTAACACGGGCCCAGATTTCATGTTAAAAATATGCTAGAATAGATAATGAAAGTGATAAATAAATTATAAGGTATTATGAGTTTACTTTGCTCTTCATCATAAAATTTTCACTGCAATTCCAGCTTCCTCTCAATGGAACTGTTTTGCTTTTTCTATCCCACATCAATAATATAATGTCATATAATAACCTGGATAGAGAAGTCTAATACATTTTTAAAATGTGTTTTACTCAATTCTTCAGTTCTGATATATAAAGTCCTTTCTTTCTCATTGCTTAGTTAAAAAAAATGCTTCAACAAAAATCAATGTTTGCATTGATTTGCAATGAGTACATGGTACTTGGAAACCCAGAGACAGAATTATGTTTATGAAAACTTTTTCTCTTTTCATTCTGCTCAGCTAATAAAAGGTTTTCTCTTCAGATAAACTTTATCTTCCTTCCATCTCTAGACATCACCTTTATAAAAAAGGCAATAAAAAGTATTCTACCAAGCAGAATACCAAGTAGGTAGTAGGCCTACTTCTACCAAGTAGGCCATTCTTGGCCTACTGAGCACAAAACAGGTAAAATATGAACCTAGAATGTATTACACTTCTTAGTTATGAGACCATTATTGAAGTATTAATACTGGAAGGATTTACAAACTGAAAGGAACACAGTGTACAGAAGCAGAGGAAAAAAGGTAGAAAGAAAAGCTTTCCATGTACCCAGCTGATCTGCCAGATGTTTCCCCTTCTCCACAGGAACAATCCTGTCATCCTCCATGTCACATTTGTTTCCAACCAGGATCACTTGTGCATTGTCCCAGGAGTAAGTCTTGATTTGTGTGGCCCTACAGCAGGTCAAAAGAGATTGTTACATTCCATCAGCTGTGCCAAAATACAATCCTATCTTAAGAATGAAAACAAGTGCCATTAATGACACTAGCAGCATCCCCAGGCTGTGTTGGTTCAAGGACAAATGACCAGGCTTACACACAAAGCAAGGAGGCAGCCTGTGTAATTCACAGCACTGTTCTATTTTACCACTCCTTAACTTTGTGTGACAATAAAGTTCCTTGTTGAGACTTTGCAAGTGTTTTAAAGATCACAAAATCCAGATAAAAAGCTGAATCAAGTAATTTTTGAAGATTTTGAAGAATTTTTGTAAAGCTTATTCTCCTTCAGCTCTCATCTGTCAGAGGAACAACAATCAATTAGAGCTCTTAAGGATATTGTCCCATAAAGAAAGCCATACAGTAGATGCACACTTCATGCTGGATTTACAACTTCATCTATAAGACAGAACAATAATAATTGTCTCATTTTCTGCAGCACATTATGCTGTAGAGTTTTAGGAACACCATAAGAAAAGATGGAAGCACAGTTGTCTTTGCTGGAACAGGAAAACTTCATGGAGACTGAAAACCGCATAAAAACATGGAAACAACTGCAAAGGAGAAACAGAAATGTACCAAATTGGGAAGACAGGAGATCAAAGCAAGGCTCTGTGAGCTAATACTTGAACCCAAGGACTAAGGAATACCTAAGGCAGGAAAGAGCAATGACAGGCCAACACTGACTGCAGTGGCACAGGGGTGCAATGTGTGGGAGCTTGGGCAGGAGCACTCGAGTGAACTTGGAGCACCTAAATCTTCCTGTGGCTCATGTGCTGAAACTGGAGTGAGCTCACTGTGGATCCCGGGACTCGGACCTTAAATTTAACTTTTTTAGAGTTTTTCCATGACAAAACAGAATAACTTTTTTGTATATCCTGAGGGGCCAGTCCTCTCCACCATCCTTGGTGTCCCAGAGGTGTCCCAGAGCATCAGCAGAACATTATTAGCTCGGTAGCATTCACTTTCATCCATCTTTTCAGACCCACACAACCTATTTTATCTTCACCAAGTCAGCTCTATTTTTGAAGGCTCTTTCCTCCCCAAGGGTAATTAGGCTGCACTGCCAGAAGCCACACACTCCTCTCCTCCATCCTCCTCCACTCCCTAACTCACCTTCCCACTCTTTGCCCCAGCTCACCACCACTCCAGGCAGGACACTACAGTTTCAGGCAAATCTGCCACTTCCCAGGAGAGCCACGAGTCCACTCAAACTTTTACTGCTGTGTAAGTTTCCTTGAACTCCCTTAACAATAAAGCACTTGAATCCTTCTCCTTTGAATTAGCAGGAGCCTCCAGCTCTGATCTACTAATGACAATTTTTTAATTAGTCTGAGTTGCTTACTTGCTTTTTTCCATGGAAAGCAGCCAGCTATGTTACTCCACAGATAACTGGGAAAAAGGAGTCATTTCACTGTGAAACTTGCCTTGAAGAGGCTGCCTGCTTGGACTGCCCTGGAGAACAGGAACCTCACCCAAACCCAGACCCATAGTGCAACATGCAAAAATAAACAAAGATTGTGTGCAATGAAACTTCTTACTCTCCCTAGTGTCCTCCTGGAAAGGCATTCACTCCAATCCAAATTTTAGCTCCTCCAGTCTCACCCTTTGGAGTGCCTCCATGTACACAAGCCCTGTGACAGCTAATATGGATCTGTGATGAGTTTTTGTGGGACTCAGATTTCTCAAGGTTTATCAGAGAAGAGGATGACTGCAGAAATCAGCCAAAAGCCCAGGAAGATGAAATCTCCTCAGTTTCCCTCCATAAGCAATAGAGAGAAATAGTCTGCCCAGGTTCCATTTAGAACAGCTGAAAGCAGTTCTAAAAGCTTCTGACTCAACAGTTCAGCCTCTGGATTCATTTCAGCCCCTGGCATCATATGGGGACACACTGTCAAATCTTAACTATTTAAACAGAATTACTTAGAAAAAGAAGCAAACAGCATGAAGGATCTCCCAGAGAAACACATCCTTCTTCTTGTTTTGCACAAATTAGTGGAAAACCTCTTGCAGAGCAGCGATCTTTATTCTTCTTAGGAATAAAAAACAGCCAATCAACAAAAATAGTTATGAAGAACATATAAAAGAAACTTTGATCTCCATACAAAAAGAAAGGCAGAAAATTTCCAGATGCTTTTGTAAAGATAAATGATAAATAGCAAGGCTTGTGTGATGGAGCTTTTTCAACAACTATCAGGGCAGTCTAATATACACACTGGGAGAAACATATTTCTGTGACACAATAAAATGCTGTGCCTTGTTTGTGCTGAATTCCCCAAATTAACAATAAAGCACAAACTTTGTGCTTCATGCTTAGAAGAAAAATAGTCTCACGTTTACAGTTACATGGAGGTTTCAACAACTCAGTTTGGGTTAAAGATAAATAATGCTGATTTGTGAACCCAGCTGTCACTTGTATCTAAGTTAAATTTTACCAATTTTTATTTCTCTTCTATGAAATTGTCTAGATTGTCCAAAGCAGGGCTTCCATAATATTTTCTATTTACTTTACAGTTTCAAATACTGAGTATATTTTAGTCCCATTGCAGTTTCAGACTAGGTATAAACAACTGATTTATCCACACACAAAACTATCAGCCCAACGTCAAATAACAGCTATCAAAGAAGACTACTAAAAAAATTTCTAGAAACTGAGCTGAAAGCTATGAAAGCTCGTTTAACCCTTGCACTCACCCTACAGGAAAGATATATTCAAAGGAAATAATTACTTATTTTCAAATATCAGTTAAAAGCAATCTTTGTGTTTGTCTATTTATATTTTTTCTTGTAAAATAACATGACTGAACTCTTTCCACACTGCAAGGAAAATCACTCAGGCTTAATATTTTAAGGTTTCTTATACAATGAGTTGTATATTTTCCAGAGAACAAGAGAACAAGTCATGTTCCAGGTATTGCCAAATGCATTTAAATTGTGTCTCTTTCTCAGTGGTTTTAAGATCATCATAATTAATTGGGGTGGTTCATATGAATGAAGGAAAGACTCTGCTTTGCATCCATATTCTGCTTGGAGAGTTTGTCTAAGAACCTGATATACAGCCATGATCTTCTCAGGAGAGAAAGCACCTTTACTTGGTTTAGGGGAGGCCTGAGTGCCACAAAGCAAACCAGGATCCTCTTCAGGACATCCCCCCATAAGAAGAGTGAGGGTAAAAGACCTCCCAGGGAAGAAATCATTTGGCAGACTGGAAGGAATATTCTCATTTCCCCTGTGGATGGGTGAGGCCAATGAGGAGGCTGTTAAACAGTCATGTGCCAATGAACCAGAGATGGAGATAAAGGAGCTCAAGCAGTAGATGCCTTAATTTTCTATGGAGAACACAGATCCTGACTGAAGACTACATCAAGTGTAATTAAGTTTTTTTAATCATAAATCCTACTTGCTATGCTAGAAAATGGAAGACACCAACAGAGCAGCACCAGCCAAAAGCTTTTTTCTCCATTTCTTGTGCCTTTGGAAGTTCAGGAAGCAATTTTGCAAAGGAAAAACCATGTGCCAGCTGCAATAGCCACTAGAGGACTCTGCTGGCCCAGAGATACTGGTTTGGCTGCAGCCCTCAGTTGGACAAGCTTCAGGAAGGAAGGAAATGGTCCTTTTTACCCATCCCACTACCTCATTTGGGATCAGAACCTTAAAGCTGGCTGGAAAGATTCCTGACATACAGAGGAAAAACACCCTGATGGTTCACCTCTGTCCTTTGGCTGACAAGGTGCTCTTAGCAAAGATATTCCTGCAGCTCCCGTGGCACAGGAAGACGTGAAATCAAACAGACAGAGCTGACCTTTCCCAGTTCTTATCCTCACACCAGTGCCTTTGATGAAACAGACCTTAGACTACTTCCAGTATAAAGCTTCATGTTAAATTTCACCTGTGCAAACTTTAAAATAGTAGCAGCTCAGAGATGGAGATTTGGCCATTTTTGGCTACCTTAGGACCAGTAAGTAAAACTTACTAGAGCAGAACCAACAGACAGACAGGTAAATGAACTGTGTGGTCATTGGATTTGGCTTCATCAGGGAAACAAGCTGGAAATATTTATAGTTTAATGAAAGATATTGCCCCAGCTCACATGTCTGCACTCCTCTGGAAAACATCCCTGTGCAGACACTTGCAGAAAAAGCTTCATCTGAGCTTGGTGAGCAAAACTTGATGGATGAAACTGGTTTTGGCACAACCTTTAGGTTTATGTTTCTAACAAGAAAAGAATGTATTCCTCAACCACCAGCTGCTGAAGGGCTGCTCAAGATGGGGCTGCAGTTCATTTGGTGCTGTGGTACTGGGGATGGGGGCTGGAAGTGGAGACTGCATCTTAAATGTGACCTTCATGACCAACTGCTTTAGTGAACAGAGAAAACAAAACCTGGGCAGCTTTGGAGGAAAGACAAATCACTTCAAACAACAAACCATGTTGTCTCAGCTTTTGAGTTACAGCCTGGCTTAGGGGATACAGAATAGATGTTCAACAGAAAGCCAGGCTGAGCCAGATGCTAGGAGCCAATGCCACAGCCAGGATGTCACATGCTCCCAGTGGGTCACCGAGATCATTGCAAATCAGACTGACTCACATCACATTAACCACTGCACTGCCCTTCTTTGCACTGTGACCATTCTTATCTGCAGTAAAGAGCAACCAGGAAACCAGCAGAAATGATTGCAAGGCATTTGAGTGGAGTCACAGGGCAGTACTGAGGAGAAACTAATTACTCAGGAATTCCCAAATTCCTGAGATGCAAATTGAACAACCACTGTTAATCTATATTTTTAGCAGCATAGCCAGAAATCTCTTTTAAAAAAAGCATTAAAGGATTAATTTCTTCACAATAAATTGAAACTTTTAAAAGTAACTAATACTATAGTATGCTACAATATTTGAATTACAATTTTAATTCGTTAAAGTGAATCTGTAGGACTTTTTCTAAGAAACGTTCATAAATCAAATTATTTAGGTGAAGAGGAAAGAACATGGTGATGGAGGGTGGGATGTCTCATGTTCTCAACAAGCAAGTAGGGGGAGAGAATTGGCCAAAACCCATAGAAACCCAACATTTACAATAATATTTAAGTATTTCCTACCAGTCCTGCACAGCATTGAAGGAGTCTTCACTGGTGATGTCATACATGAGGACAAAGCCCATGGCTCCTCGGTAGTAGGCTGTAGTGATGGTTCTGTATCTTTCTTGTCCAGCTGTATCCTGCAACAGAAAGGAACACTTAGGCTTTGAGATTTCAGTTCTCAGAAGCAAAAACTGTAATTAGGTCCTATATCTAAAATAAGGCAACTACTTCTGTTATACATTTCAAAATTCTCAGTTGCTCCCAACTGAAATGAACTCTACTTACATTTTAGCATTAATTAGGCTTTTGCATCAACGATGATTTGTTAAATGCATTTTGACACATGTACTATTAAAAAAATACCAAAGATGTCAACCCTTTAATTGCTCTTCTCTGCCTCAGCCGCAGTGCAATAATGAAATGTTAGCAGAGTTCACTGAAAGCTGACACTTCAAAGCAGAGGCAAAATAACCAGTCCAGGACTGTTCCAGGCAAAAAATATTTCCATGTTGCAATTCAGTGTCAGAGTCAGGAAAATGTCCTTGACGTAGATGCTGTGGGTGACCCCTTTTATTGCCTCAGGTCAGAGACAAAAATTAAAGATTTGATGCAATCAACATTGTTACAAAAAAGTAAATTTACTGTGAAATATCCCAATCACAGAGTCTGAGGTCTCACATACTAAGATGAGATCTATTAATCCTCTTCTGTTGGTTCATCTTAATTCTGTTTCCCCCTAGAGTTCCTGCAGAGTTGCTCCACCTGCAGTTGTCATTCCTGCATTCAGCTGGGCAGCACAAAGGTGAAACTCTGGCATATGCAACAGAAGAATTTTGAAAGACTTGTGACAGCTAGAAAACATGTCAACTACCATCTGTTGGATGCCAGTAGCACTTTTCCTTTGCATTTTACAAGCCTATTTTTAAACTGAGGAATATTTCTACACCAGAACAGCAGTCCTACAGCCCAACCCATTCTCTCCAGACCTGCCTTCTGAACCAAAGAGAGAAGTCATGTGCTAATTGTCTCTCTCATTCTGAAGGTGTCTATCTTTTGAAAACATTTCATCCTTCTTTTGGCAAATGGCAGCTCAGTGAAACAGCTGCAGGGAGCCAAAAGGCTTTGCCTTAAAGTGTGTGCTCAGTATGAGGTGTCAACTTATAGTTACTGTGATGGGTTAGTTCTAAAATGAACCATCCTTCAGTGCCCCAAAACCCATCCTGAAGAAAGCATTGCTGCCACTGGTTTAAAATGTGATTAAAGTTCTAAAGAAAAAGACCCTAAAGGACTTAACAACCGTGTAATTTGTTGGAAGAGTAAAATAAATCCACATAGAGCACTCTTGCAGGAGTAGAGACCAGACACAGCACATCACCACCTCCCCAAGAGATGGTGGGGGGGAAAAACAGCTTTAAAATCATCCTGCCCATCATTCCCATACATGCAGCTTTGCTTTTGCTGCCTGCAAGAGACAGTGCTGGCCCTTGCAGAACACACAGCAGCCAGTCTGTGGCCACCTGTTGTTAAGCACCAGAACATCACAGAGCCTCTCTGTAGGAGGACAGTGCTTGTAAATAAGCTCCCTACAGCTTGCTTAAAAGGCTCTGCTATTGCACTACTGTGAGACTATCCACAGCTGTAACATACTGTGAATTTCCCAGTGGAGAGGCTGTGCAGCAGGAATCTTGCTGTTTCTCCACCAGTTCTCTGGGAAAATATGTGATATTTTTCCCTTAAACTTGTGCATTTATTTCAAGACAGGGTAGTCCACTGGCTGATCATGATGAACCATTGCACACTGGCTGAGGAGTTGTTCTGGTCCCTCCTGACAACAGGACAGAGGTGGGAATATCAGAATGAAGTGGGCTCCACCCTGTAGCCTGAGTGACCATTTCTCTTCCTGCCAGTGATAAATCCATCCCAGAGTACTCTTATATCCACTGACACCACATCCCCCCATAGCTGCTCAACAGCTAAACCAGCCATGACAGCTAGATTCTGACTATATTTCCTCAAGCAAGGAAGGTCTCAGCAGTAATAGTATTGCTCTTTTATTCAGAGAGATGATAGTTGCATTATTTTAGCCTGATTTCCTAAAGACATAAGTCTTATTAAAACATCAGTCTCCACATAGGCACTCTTGATCAAATTAGGCTGAGGGAAAATGTATTCAAATATTTTTACACATGTCACAAAAAGTAGTTGGTAAGGTGAAAAGAAATCATAAGCATACCTTAGCTATGAAAAAAACTGAAGTGCAGTGATTATCTTTTCCAAACACCAAAGGATTCACATGAGAGAGGCTTGCTTTGTGTCTCATTAGGAGAAGACCCTAAATCAGTAACTTCAGAGATTCTGCAACCAATAAAACCAAACAAATCCATGGGAAGTCAGGCTTGTCTACTTCTGATGCTCACAGCATTATTGTTTGATACCTGCATTCACAGGTTCATCTGCCTTCCAAATCTCATCTCCTGTTTTCTCCTCTGTGTTTGACCAGTGCTCACTCTGACTTAGGGCATGAGGCTGTGATGAGGCAATAAGTGACTGCAAGATACATTGTCGAGTTACATTCAGAATAATTTGTAAAGAAATTAAATTTGACAATGGCTCAGAGCAAGGACTCAGCTCTGGATATCCAGGCTGTCCTGGGAAGCAGCCTCAAGGGACACACATACAAGGTGACTTCCAAAATCTGTCCTGATACCACCTCAGTGCCTCAGCTCAGTGAGGAATTGGACTGAAAAATCCAAGTTGTGCTATTGCCTGAAAGCTTTGGAATTTAGCAAATCTGATTTGCTGATTTCAGTATTCTATCTGTGATCCTCCTGTGTGGGGGGATGGGCCCCAATTTATACATTAGTGAGAGACAGGGCTGCAGGAGGTACAGAACCCCAAGAGACAACACAAAATTCTAACAAAGTCATAACCTGTCAGAACCTGTCCTATGTGGGCAGTGCACTTCAATCATTAGAAAGATAAGTTGCATATTCACTAGGATATACTTGTGTGCCTGCCTTCTCAGATTATCAGAGGGAGTGTAAGTGTGAGGGAAATGCATCCTGTATCTCATGGTATATAAATTTTGTTCATACCCTTGCCCTGGTAGCCATGGGCTACAATGCAGATGTGATTCATCTCTTCCTGAGTCCCTGACAGTTTCCTTGCTCTGTTTTACTGGACAGGTACAGGGCACATCATCTCCCCTCACAGCTTTATAGTGGCATTTGTCCAACTATACCTGAATTGTTTTACTATCACCCTGAAATTACTTTTTTCCTCATGTTACATTAGCTTCTTAGACAGCAATAAACTGGCTTAATTTCCTTGACTCACACCATGAGAGCTTAAGTGCACACACTCCCTCCCCACACACAGATGCCTAAGCATAAATAAAATAAAACAAACTGCAAAATCTGAGCTCACTTTCTTTAGCAGTTACAGCAGTTGTCCTTCCCTCAGTTTAAAACACCACGAGCCTCGGGTAATTAGTAATTTCAGGTTTTTAAGTTCAAGTTTTTTATCTAATGAAGGAAAAAATAACTGACAGAAATGCTCCCCACCCTGCCAAGTTGTTTCCAAGATTTCCAGGTAGACCATAGACTCATTAGGAGACAAGAACATGAGGCACAGGCAGGGATCAGCAGAAAGGTGATGTAGCACTAATTAACAGTCTAGCCAAATGCCTGGGTGGAATAACCTGAGCCTCCAGCATCCAGAAACCTGCTGGGCTGTCCCTGAGGAGGAATCAGAGAGCTTGGCTGTGAGCAGGCACAGGAGGGTCTCTTGAGGTGTATTTCCACCAGTGTGCTACCAGCTCTGTTCTTCTGCAAACTATGTGCGTGCCTGTGCTTTATGCAAACAATTAAAAACGCCCACAGGACCATTAGTGGGTAGCGTGAAACAAAAATTTGAAGGTTTTGCATTAATGAGCCATCAAAATTCAGTGTTTATCAGAGAAGAAAAATATCTAAATGCACTTGCATTGTGTGCAGATGCCCTCTAGTCTCAAGATCCATCACGCAAACATTCACAATAGGAATACAATCAGCTTTTCTTAAATTTACTTGGCTGTCTCAGCAGAAACTGCAAGGTATTAACACAGGAAACATATTTGAGTTTTTAAATAATGCTCTTTTAGATGCCCTTTGCTGCAGCTCTGAAAAATCACAATTCCTGATTCCGAACCATCCTTCTAGTGAAGATTTCCAGCCACAAACTCTTTGTTCCAAATAAAATGTCACTGAAACATCTAATCTGTACTGAATTTAATCCCCTTAGCACCATGACTTTTCTAGCAGTGTATGTGACAAACAGCCTCTGAAGAAATCAACATCTCAATTTTTTTAAAGGATTATGGTGTGATTTCCATGTTTTTTGTTTTTTTAAAAAAGAAGAATAATATGCAAGAATGAGAGCTGCTTATCATCCAGCTATTAGCAAGATCTACAAGCTGCATGTTCTTGGCATTATCCTTCCTTAGGCTGCTCAGAGTCAGAACTGAGGCTACATCCTCCCCAATAACCAGCACTCACCACAGTCTGGGGCTTCATCAGACCTGGTGAAGGAAAGACCTCTTCCCTCCCGTTAATTGTCACATTGTAACACCTACACCGTGGCATTTTGCACTTTGTTTGGGGCTTGGTCAGCCGAGGAGACAGGATAATCCACTTCCCAGCCCCATGGTTATGGGGGATGTTACATTCACACACACACATCTTTGCAAAAGTAGACTTTGGAGTGGAAGCCACCAATAATGAGATAAACAAAAGTCACCTTGGGAAAGGGGAAGAAAACAACCCACCCACCAGGTACCACAAGAGAGAGGGACCTCGGGCAGACTAGGATGTGTCATTAATAAGAGAATGTTAACATTAAGCTTAGTGTTTCCTGCTGGCAGCTAGAAATAGGAACAAACAGGCAAGCAGGATGAGTCACTGGTTAAGACATGGAAAAGATGTGATGTCATGAAAAACCTGTGAAGATTCAATTGCTGCCAGGAGCAAAATAACACCTGGTTCCTTCAGAACTCACGTCTGATCAAAATGCTCCAGTTCAACAGATTATATTAGGCTTTTTTTTCTCTCTCTCTCTTATTATTTAGTGCTCCCATTGCCCAAGAGCCACTGGAACCTAC